TAGTCCCCAAAAGGAGGAGCAAAATACCATTTGAGTAGAAGCAATCTCATAAATCATTATATGACACCCAGTGGCAATAAACAATTGACTTAAGGGACCAAGTATTCAGATTTGATTCAAAAAGTAGGTCTGTAAAAATGAATCACAGCTAAAGTACCTATAAAGTAACTGTCAACTTTCATTTGCATATATGTAGATTGAGAAATTAAGTTTAAAAAGCAGGTACTCCGTGGAATAAAATTACATTATTACCTATACTAATTAAACACACCATGGTGTGTATTTTATTTTCTAGTCCACCAAATAGAAATACAGCACATAACTTATCAATTTCAGCATTTTGGGCTCTTGTCCATGGTTTAACAAAAGGGAGGGAGGAGTCAAACATATGCAAAGCATGGATTTAGCTGTTGGTGACAGGTACTTGCGATTTTTTTTTATATACACATTTTTCCTATAGCATTCAAAAGCATAGTCACTATCCAGTGAAATTACAGCATGAAAACCCTTATGGATTGTTGAGAGAAAGATGTCCAACATAATCCATCTTGATAATCTCACTCAGTTAAAGGCTCTGATTAAAATAAATCCTTTAGTGACCACTGAAAGGCATATTCAAGCCCATTCATTTTGTCCATCAAGCAACACCATACTTAGTGCTAAGTATGAGCATAACTGTTATGCTGAATCTGAATTGTGAAGAAAAAAAAAAAAAGGGTTTGTTATTAAGAAATTCTTTTCTATGAAAATAATAATCACCTAAAAATCCACCACACGATTATTTACACTATTTTTTCTAAAAGGTAGATTTTTGCACAGTTCTCGGGGCAATCAGAAATAAGCATATGTTAAAATCCTCTGCTTTTGTCAATCCACCCTGCATATATGTTGCTAAAGCCCCCAGCTGCAGAGTCTCATCTCTTAAGTCGGGCGCTAAAACTTGTGCTGTTTACTTTGGGTCCCTGAAACGTCAACCAAGAGGGCAGCTGGCACATAAACTGGGACCGATCCCAGACTCGGGCTGCTGTGGTCCGACATACTTGGATGATCCACCTTGGAGCGTGGAACCCTCTAGTTAGTGTGCATTACCAAATGAGCCCCCCAGTCTCCAGAGCCTGATCCGCAGAGGTTATGAGATTTTAAAACATCCAGCTGAAGAGCTTTGGCTTCAGTTTTGTGGCAATTTCTGCTTTGTAGATGCATTCAAACCCTCCATGTCAGCCTAAAGGAGGTTGTCACCTGGAGTGCTCTCCAGTCTCACTCCTGTCAATAGCTGTCAAAGTTAAAGGTGCTCAAGGATTCTTAGCTACAAATCAAAGTGATGCTTTAACAAACAAACTGCATTGAAGCAACGTACATTTTCCTTCCTGGGATTCAAATTTGGGCTGCAGATCATTTTATTTTGTCTTTCAATTTAGCTTAGACTAGTGAAAAAATTGGAGCCTATTTAGTTATTTGAGGCAAGCCTGCACATTAGAACAACACTGAATAAGTAATTACAAATCGTGGAATTGTACTCCTGTTAGTCTCATGCTACCAAAGTTCCTTTACACCACACATGTATGACAATTTGTATTCCATGTGCTAAGTCAGGACCAACTCACTGGCAACGTGGTTTTTTATTACTATAATCTGCCTCAAAATCATTTTGTGGAAAGAAATTGTGGAGAAAATCTGCAGGCCTGTATTTTCACTTGAAATTATAGAATGTCTTGGCTACCAGTATAGCAATGCTTGGATTACTCTATCAGAGAGTTGTTGCTGGGGTCCTCAAATTGAATAAAGGAACAGAGAAACTGCATTACTTTCAGAAGTTTGAGCGCATCCATGGTACACACAAGTATAAGATCTATAAAAGAAAATGAGACAGGAATTCATACAACAAATAGGAATTAAAAATTGACTTTAAAAAAATAAAAAGCATAATGATTATTGTTGCCAATATCTTGAGTTTTTAAGATGAAACACAAAACTATTAAATTCCATTAAAAATATTTGTAAAAAGGAGGAAAATAAAGGAGAAAGAAAAAGAAAAATGGCAGCATTAACGGAATAGGCAACTGGAATAGATATTTCCTTTATGGAAAAACTGTGGTTTAGATTTCCCTTTGGAGTCCTCTTCTTAAATGACAAGATTCAGGAACTGTTAGGAGAACACAGACACAAAAAAAAAAGTGCTTTGAAAGTATTTCTGTTCAGTCTGAAATACTCATATTTATGCTCATAAAATGCTTTTTGATACAATGCCCAAAGACCCCCCCCCAAAAAGGAAGCAGTGTTGCTGTAATTTATACTTTTCACTGACACCTAGCAGAGCTTTTTTTTTTTTTTCCAACAGTTATGTGCTGTATTAAGTTTGTCAGTTCTCCAGAGCACTGCTCTGAAGTGCAGTCAAAAATAGTGTAAAAGAGCAGTTGCCATTTGGAAAATGAACAGATCTCATTTAAACAGATAAACCTTATCTGATAAAAATTACACTTATAGTGAGTAAGTTAAAACGTAGCTTCTTTATCAGCCTTAGTTAGAGAAAGGTGAGGATTGTCTTTCTTAATGTATTTGATGTGAACACCTTGTACAGCATGTGTCTATAGCTGCAGAGTTTAAAATTTCTCACACAGAGAAATATCTCCATTGCTTGTTCCCATGTGGGAGCTCCTTCTCCTCCCAGTACCTCGTGGGACCAGGCCAAGCCAAGTCAAACACACCTAATTGGCTTTTGCAGTTCCATCTGTGGCTTCATCACATATTTAGTAAGTCACAACCACTGACATTCATGTAACAAAGTGGATGCCACAGACCCACATACTAACACAGTCTTATTTTCTTTCCTTACCCTCAGCTACAGAGGCTTCAGTCCCAAAATACCTACTAGGGCTGCCAACACCTTTGCTCCTCAGCAACAAGAGCCTGTGTCTGAAGAGTATCCCTATTTGCAGCAATTAAATGTATTTCAGATATTCACATGAGCTGTGCTTGCCCCATAACATAAACATATTGGAGCGTGAAGAGGTTTAACTTTTCTGAATCACTGTCATCTTGCCACCCGCTTCATCTTAAAAATAATAGTAGTCACGCATCGCTTCATGGATGTGTGGATCCAAGTTTAACAGGATTCCTTGGGGGACACTAAAAAGGCGCATCAGGAGCGCAGCTTCAGGGACACAGACTGAAGGTTGATAAATATTTTCCACATGATGGGTGCATTGGGGAAAAGAATTAAAAACAACAACAGCCTTTGTATCCTTGACCCTTTGCCTACTGTGCATTTCAGACAATCATATGCATGCAATCACAGCCTAATGAGAGCCTGCGTGACTTGCCAAAACAAAAGTTTGACCTCAATCAAAAAGTGATTTCTGCAGAGATGAAGGAGGATTAGGAAAAAATTATTCCAATTTCTCATCAGGCCAATGTTAACCAAGCTGAAGAAGTTATCTTGCCCCTGTACAATCAATATTTTAGTAAAGAAACCCTGTGCTGAAGTTCTGAATCATGCAACCAAGAGCTGTGCCAAAAAAAGCTCTCAGTGGCACAGTCACATCAGATTCTTCCCCTCTGTAATAGGGGATACTGCAGCTGGTTATGTCTGCACTGAACTGCCACTGTCATTGATTTTTGGCTGAATCCCAGGGGAGATTCTATAAACCTGACAGCAAAAATTTTGGTTGGTTGGGGTTTTTTTAAGAGAAAAAAAAAAAAAGGCCCAGATTTCAAGTGTCTAAAGGTATCATGTAACTCAAAACTTCTCAAGATTTCATCAGCTCCAGGTATTACATAGTACAATCTCCACATATAATTTAAATATACTATTTCAGCTGGGAATGTAACCCTGCCATGGTATGAACAGCACTCTGCAGAAGATACTAAACATTCATCTTATTACTGTAACATTGTAAATAAAACAACATGCTTAATGTGCTTGGTACCAGCTAAATTAACAGCATTGCAAGGAGGTGCTTGGAAAGGGAGCACACAATATTGTGTTTTCTTCACAGAACAGCAGATGCCTGCATCTACAGAAAACTCTTCAGCTTAAGAAGTCAGGTGCACGGTGAGGTTGCAGATCTGCGCTTCCGTGCTCCACTTCTGCCCATCAGGAAAGCTAGCCTGTGCTACAGAAATGAGAACAAGATGTTTATGGCATGAACTCAGTTAACTTGTGGAGTGCTGAGACACAGTGTACATTCAGGGGTTGGGCACCATTAACGTTAATGAAAGGCTAGGATGCACATCCACAAGTTTTTACAGATGATGCATTAATGGATATGTATCATACTTCCTAAGGGCACTAAATCAGCAAAACGGCAAACCCAAAATTAGACAGCTCTCACTAGAACACAATACATTGAGCAGCTTCTTTCTTTGAACAAATGGGTTTGTGTGAAGGAAATCAAAACTTAGGGCAATACGTATGTGAAATGAATACAAAGATAAGCAAAACACAGAGCTCCGCTTGTGACAGCGTGCAATGAAATTTTACATATAGTGTTTGCAGTGTTTGCAACTTGCTGGTGTCTGGGTTTTTCTTTATTTCCTCCTTTGGTTTTTTGTTTTTTTTTGTTTTTTTGTTTTTTTTTTTTTTGGAGGGAGGGGTATGAAAGCCCAGAGGAAAACAACCAAACAAAAATAAAAGAGAAAAAAAAATCATGAAAGCGTTTGAAGCCCAACAAAAGAAATGCCATACAGTGTAGTCATATACCAGCATTAAGTAATTCAAGAGAGCCCCTCCTGACTGTTACTGTCACAGTGCTGTAACAATGGGCTGGCATGAGGGGAGAGGAGAATATATTTTAGGTTTTTGTTCCTTTTTAGTGGGCCATAATTCTGTCTTCAGTTACACATATGCAATGCTGAAGTTCTTCCATGGGGCCTTGGGTTGCATAGTCACCTGTAAATAATATTCCTGTTGAGGAAGCTAAACTGTTAAAAAAGAACAGCACAAGTAGTTTTATTACATTTTATTTTTCGAAACAACATGCGTGAACTCAAAAGACAGGAAAGCAATTTAATTCATTTTATTTCTGATGTGAGGAAGGGTGATTGCCATCAGGTGGTTCAAGCGGTGCCCTGAGGTCCTCCAGCCTTTGGTCCATCCCATTTGAGCTGCCACTTTTCCTGCAGAAGAGCAGCTCTGCCTCCCCCAGAGAGGGAAAGGGGCAGGACTGTGGGTCTGCAGCTGCCTCTGAGTGCACCTCAGCCACCACCTTGCTACGGACTTTATGCAATAGGGGAGAGGGAGGTTGGGGAAAGAGGATCATCTCAGAACTGTGTCCATCTTCAGAGAGGTTGATCCAGCCTAACATGCTACCATTGGCTAAATCTGGAAAACAAGGGATCTAATCAGTACCATTCAGGCTATTTCTTTTATCCTATCATGGACAATACTGATCTGCCCAGAGTATGTTTTCCCTTGGTACAAAACAAAGTATGCTTTCCTCTGGAAATAAATTGCACATTCTTTATCCAGGGAAAGATACTAGAAGCAAACGAGCCAGGAAGCAAAAGAAAAGGAAATAAGAGGAAAAGGAAAGATAAAGAGAGAGACAGGAGGGATGGAGGGAGGGAAAGGAAGAGAAGGAGGTAGGAAGGTGTGAAGTTGGGATGAAGGGAAGGAGGGAAGCCTGGCTTAACCACCTACATGATGAGACACCTCCATCCAACTTTGGGATACCCACTCAGCAGCCACCCAACCCAGGATAGAAGGATTATTCAGGCACCCCCCGTTTCCTACCCTGGGCGCCCAAGGTGCCGTCAGGCCAGGGGAGAGGGACACCCAGCCCTGCTGCAGCCAGCACACTCAGAACCGGGGCAGACACCACACACAGCTCTGCGGCAGGGCCAGCACCTGGAGCTGCCTGGTTGCCCCTTGGCTCTGGGGGTCTGCAGCATGCCGGGGTCTCCTCTGCCTCCGGGAATAACAACAACTGCAACACCCCGAGAGCCTGAGAGACTCAGAGGGGCATTAGGCATGCACCAGGACGTGGGAGTTGACAGCACTCGTTTTTTTAGATACTAGGTCAGGCATCTGAGCACTCGCCCTAGCAACGATCCTGAGGTGACTTGAATTCACCCAGGTCAGGGGAGATCCCCTGCCTGGGCTTCGCAAGATGGGGAGATCTTATTAACTCAAGCTCTGCCAAGTGATGTCTTCCTTTCCCTTGTTGAAGACGACCCACTGTTTGTAAAGCCACATAACGCAGTCAGACAAAGAAGCAAGCTGAAAAATAAGACTATAAGTCCATTAATCAAGGCACCTTGATGGTATCTAGAAAGCCCTCCTGGCTCACAGTCTCTGCTTCTAGAGCTATTCCTTTTTATTTTTTCTTATTAAATGACTGCTTAATGGAAAAAATGCAAAAAATGCAGAAAAGGGGACAAACACTGAGAACCACATTTGAAATAGAAAATGGTAGGCCCTGCACAGTTCTTTAGAAAGGGTACCATGTATCAGTGTTCATGTGAAAAAATCCTCTTCAATGGGAAAATTAATCATCCAAGAAGCTGATGGGTTCAAGGTGGTGGAGATGCATTGGCTGGGGAGTTTAATCTTCAGGCAGAGGGACCATGGTTGCAGTATTCCCTAGTGGGACACTGTGAAAGAGATACACCCCGTCCATCACTGGAAGTTTTGATCTCCCTTCTGAAGCCTCAGCAAACAAACTTAGGGGCCCAGGTTTCACTCTAGGAGCCAGGCCTGTACAAATTAGGCATTGTACTGTATTATGTGCAGACACTCTTTTCCTCATGCCATCTCCCACAGAGCTAGCAAAGTTTGGCTTATTATTCAAACTTTTCCCTAAGGTCTGAATTTACTGAGAATTTTCTTGCTGTACATCTCAACTTGTTTATTACAGGGTTTCTCAATATGATCTCTCCATTTCAGTTACTCCAGCACAAACAAAGAATTAATTTTCCCACCTTAGTTTACATACCCGGCGTGTCTTGGTAGTAGTACAAAATGTAAAGGAGGTTTTAACATAAAAAAAATAAGTTGAGTCAATAGAAATACACTATTATTACATTCCATGTATACAGCTACAAATATTAGATAATGCTTACCTCTGAGAAAATTTTATGCAAAAAGCTGTATATAAGCTTTTTACATAGGTTGCTAGTGGCATTCCTGTGCCTTCGTCAAAACAACGCATTAAGACTGCAACATAAAGTATCCCATCTCATTTTCACTGGAATATCTGTAGGGAGAGGACTGTGATTGCCTCAGTTCTTTTAATGGAACTAAAATCCATTGCTTCCAAATGGAAAAACGATATCATCTTGATTTCCCTTGTGATAGCTACTTTATATAATAGAAGGAAAGTATTATTAGTAGTACCACTGTTATTAAATGAAAAAAATTGCCTTTGTTCTATGGATGATTTTCTGCCTCAGAGGACAACAAAGAAGCAGAGTTGTCAGAGAGGAGTTTGAAACAGATGTGGATTTATTTCCATACTTTGGGCTTAACTGAACCCTGGTATTTAGCATGTACGGTTCTGTCCAACTGGGTTAGCTGTGCACCGTCATGAGGAGCCGAATTTACTCACATTACTTTGAAGGGGTTAACATCCGCATCCTGAGAGAGATTCTCCAGTTCCATTAATTAAAAGGGGCTTTGTAAGCAAGTAGCTATTGTTTTAAAATGCCAGATTACCCTTGTAGTCGACAAAGAGATAAGATAGTCATAGACCAGAGCTAGTTTTCATTTTCATTTCCTCATTTTATTAGGTTTGAAACACTAAGAGTGGGCTGTAGTGATTAGTACAAACAGGAGAGCCACACTTAAAAGCTGATAGGGTTTTTGTGTATCTGTTTAAGCTCCCCAGGCTAAGAAACAAGTCTATCCTTGCATGTTTACAATGCCTGCTAAGCATAACTGACAAGGATTTCCAGGCCCAACTCTAAGGGCAGAGCTCTTGTCCAAGCCTTGGACAACTTACGTCAGAGTTTTGTAATCCGCTCTGCTATACTATCAACAGCCATAAAAGGGTCTCCTTCGAGATAATTCAGAATGCTGCTGCTAACCTCTTCTTTCCTACTTGTGGCTATGTACTACCTTCAGGATAAGCCCTTCCCCTTTTTCACCGTATCCAGCACAAATTTCTTGGCCTTATCTTCAAAGCCCATCAAAATTTTTGCCCCACCCTACCTCTCCCCGCTGGGTCCCGAACAGAGGTTAACTCCCACCTCGCTTCACAACACTACGCCCTGTGCTGGGTTCCACTCACAGGACCTCACCAGCAAAGTTTCAAGTCAAATGCATCTCCTGACACATAACCTTCAGCTTCCCTGGCCCACGGCTCACAGCCCAGTGCACGAAGCCGGACTGAGCCATATTTTACAGTCCTGGCTAGTGGTTGTGGGGCTCCTTCAAAATGGGGGTGCCATGTCCTGGACCCTGCTCTAGGGCCCTGCTGAGGAATTTCAGGATTGCTTCTTCCAGCAGCAGAGCTGACATCTGCTCACTTGAAATGTTTGTGCAACTGCAACCGCATCCTCGCGTTCAACAGGTAACAGGATCTCCAGTAATGTTGGTATTATCAAATAAGGTTTATTATAGTGCAGTGAGGTCTGGGGATTTAGAGATTAGTGTGCAGAAGAATTTATTCTCTTACTTTTCTATCATTTAGGTCAGAGTGTAACCTCGGTTATCCAGGGAGATTTCTCAACATGTACATTTATTATTGTTTGGCATCAGACTCGACAGTCTGATCCTTAGCTGTCAGAGATCCCCCATCTATATCACTTTTTCCATTGCTGGGCAGTACAGTTGATTGGCGCTCAACTTGCAGCTTGTAAAATAAGAGCACATTACTTCACACTGTGCATGTGCTCCTGAGCAAACTCCCAGCAAGATACCACGTACAATGTTTGCAGAAAATTGTTGAGACTTCCCCTAAATGTGCTGGCTGCTAGTGTGGGCTTGCATATCTACCCACCTAATACTCAGGTTTGACAGTAATGTGTATTCAGCATGTCAGGGGTGGTGGTACTTAAAGATACTGGCACGAGCAAGGCAGGTGGAGCCTAGGAGGCTTTTCCATTGCCAACAACAGCTGCCCTTTTTACACAGTCTCTCCCTTTTTTTCTCTCTTTTTTTTTTTTTCCCTGTGTGTGTGCGCGCATGTGTGTGTCTGTATACACTGAAGATTTGCTTCATTGCAAATGCTTCCAGGAAAGTAACACTTCTGTCTGCAATCCAAGTGACTTGTATAAGAGTTGGCCATTGGCACTTCAAACATGATTACAGTTTTAATCAGATTCATATGAGCACCTAGCCAGCCATTTCAGTGGGCTATCGAATGTCTCATTATGGAGACATCTTCCTAGCCACATCAATCAGTCAAACAGAAGCAGGACGCCAATGATGGATGGAGATCTTCCACCTCAGCTTGCGCTGTTCATAATTAAAACTGAAATTAAATTTAAAAGCATAAATTGCACCCGTACACTGTATTTATCTTTTCATTACAACAAAAACAGTTTAACTTTCAGGTTTCCTATGCATGTCATTCATACATGATGGATAATTTGGCCAAAGCAAGAACTAGGTCTGGCACTAAAGCTATGTGAAAAATAGCTATTCTTTCCCGACTCCCTTATATGAGTAAATAGAAGCAAATGATTTATTAATTCACTTCCTGATCCTATTTGTTATGTATTCATGGCAAGGACATGCAGAGGTTCAGTGATTAAGAAAAGGAAAAACTTACCAATGCTGTCTACAGTTATTAATTCTCCAAAATCATGACTCATCTTGTCAAAGGACTTCATGAGGGCACCTGGCTTTGCCATGGCTTTTCTTCTCTAATTTTGTTTGCTTCCTTTGTTTTTCTTCCCTGTCAACAGATATTTGCCCGGAATCTATTTGGATTATAAATGCCCAGTGAGCTAAGACCTGAAATGGAAAGTTGATGCTACAAGTTACTGCCAAAATTAATCTCACCAAAAGCAAACATGACACATCTCTAGTCCCAAAGTGAGACAATTTTATTGTACTTTTATAAACTCTGTCACAATTAGAACACAGCCTTTCTGCCTCATACTTTTCCAACCAAACCCCAGAGAGACCCACTCTACTTTTAATGTTTTTAACACCGATGTCCCTCAGCTGCTCTGATGGTTACTCATGTTCTCCTGGCATTCACAGAAAGCAAATGTATAGTTGAAGGTGTAGTCTGGTGGAGGTACCTGAAGCAAAGGACAAGTCATGAAGTTGCATCTTGTTGGCCCTATTCATTGAGCTGAACAGCTAGAGGCATCTTGATTTCTGAGCCGGTATTCTCAATGGCACTTTTTCACTGCTAGATGCACTCAATACTGCTAGGAGGCCAGTTTTTCCCGTTCTTGGAGTTTACAACTGAGCCTGTAAGCTCCACAGCGAGGGATACTGCTTTGCGTGCTGCCCAGCAGCACGTCCATGATTTTGGGCTGGTACAGTGATGCAAATGGTAATAGCGTGTATAAACACACGCATGTATGCCTGTGTGAGTGAGGAAGATATAAGTACCTAAACACTCTTAAAGTTACCTTATGTGTTTGCTACTAGAATGAATCAGGATTTGCATAGAAGATGGGACCTTTAAATACTGGGTAGTGCAGTGGCAGACAAATCATACCAAAGAGCACAATACTTTCCATTATACACTAATCACCACATTTAAAATTGTTATCATCAGATTATGTGGATGCATGATTCACAGCCCACTCCCTGTCTCCAAAGAATCGGTTTTTAAACAGGCTGCCACGCGCCTACTGCACCTGATTGTTTCATCGGCACATTCCAGCTAACAAAGGCGGACGAGCCAGGGCAGAGCCCGGGACACTGATACACTTGTTCTATCCCCACAGGTGTAGCAGCCTTCTGTTTTGAAAGCTTCTGGGTGTAGGCGTTAAGGCTGCATTCTTTCTTTAATTTGTACTCGCTTCTTTCGGAGTCAGATGGAACGGCAGCCAAGTGAGGAGTGCACAGAAGGAGCGAAAACTCGCGTTCAAAAAGCCCTGCTAGGACATGGACCGTTACAGCAGACCCTGAGCCCTTGATCTCAGCCAGAGGAAGAAGAAAGAGAAAAGAAGAAAATTATATGGGGAGTTTTAACATTAAAAGTTCCCTCCTATCCTCATACATTTTCCGTCAATATTGCTGACAGAGAATATATTCTGTATAACATACAAAATCAAGCTGTTCCATGTGGATGCATAGTTTATGTATAATTGTTGATACAAGCCATTATTTACATGGTAGTATAGCTATACATTCCATATATTTTATATATAATTATTAGAACTGGCCACTATTTATATGGGACTTCAGATGTACGTACTGTTTTATTGTCAAACAAGCAGAGGGGAGACCACATTCTCCTCCCAGTTTACACCATCTCAGGCCAGAACAGACCATTGTACCCATCCAGTCTGACCTCTCGCACTCACACACACTAATTTCCTCAGTTGCACCAATTATAACTCTGAAGTCCCAGTCCCCAGGAGCCAAGAGTCTCCTAGACTAATGCTTGGGCAAGGTGTTGAATTGTCGGCACTAAAAACTGAAGTCACTTATGCGGTTGGAGGACAGCTGTGCCAGAGGAAACATGTCACCTTCTGAAGGGAGGGGCAGGTCACTCTACACCCCATACAGTCACTGCCACCTCTACTCAGGTGGCCCACAAGATTTCTCATAATGAGTCTTGTGACAACCACCTGTTCACCAGGATTTTTATGGAGTTTTACCAGTTTCTTGCAGATTAAGTTACTCTGTCTGCATTGCATTGGAGCCCTTAGCCAGCCAATTAGGAGATTAAATTAGCTCACTGATGCTTACAAAACGTCTGTGAGCAAACTGAGATTCGTATGACAATTCAATTTGAACAGGAACAATTTTTCATGGTCCATAAAAAGTAGTGTAAGATGCGCAAAGCTGACATTCATGACTCCTGCTCATAGCTCAGTACTCTGTGTTTAATTCTCCATGGATGGAGCTAAGAAATTACCCTCACATTTATTAGAGAAAATATTCAGGAAGGCAGATTTCTTGCAGCTCCACCTGTTTTTAAAACTAGTTCAGGATAAACAGAGAATTCGGCAATTCGAGAAAATAGCTTACAAATATCTTCTTTCTTTTTCCTCTTTTTTTTTTTTTTTTCTCTGCCAACCCAGAGTTATGTTATCTTAGACTTATTTTGATAAGCTACCTTCAGCTTTTCTGTCTGCACATGCAAGGAAACAAATCCAGCTCCACTTCCAATGCAAGTTTAGACAACGTGGTTAAATTAACAGCTTGAACATTAGAAAAGAGATTAGGATAATTAATGCCAAGATGATAGAACTAGGAATGTTTTGTACTGTAGGTAGGGCCACTATTTGGGAGGCCAAAAGAGGAGTTTTACCACCAGCTTGCAACAGGTTCTAACAGCAGAGCTTGAAAATGGGAATCACATTCTCCTGAAATGCTAGAGTCATGCTTTCAAAAACATGTGCCACAATCTGGTCCTCTTAACTAAAGTGGAAGCACCAGAAATATGCCCTATTTTCCCCATTTTAACAAGAAGAGTGATTAGATGCCCACACTATTCTAGAAATTTAAGCAGTTCTTTGGATTGTTTTGCATGCTTCAGCTCAGAGTCAGCCAAAGAAATACAGGTTTGACACCTTAAAGAACAGAGTAGCTGCTATCTATCAAAATCCCAGAAATTAATCCAGGGTTTTTTTTGAAATTAAAGAAACATTTTATTTCCTCGCTCCAGGGCCTGTTCAATGCCTTCCCTAAAGACACTGAGATCATGAAATAATTAAGAGCATATTTCTTGACCTGGAATTATTATTCACTGTCAAACTGCCAGGTTCTTTGTACAAAATGCACTACATAAAATTATACCGGGAATTAATGGCACTGGTTATACAGACCCAGTCAAATTTCAGGAAGACAGTTTCAAAGCCAAGGGAAAGGAGAGATGCTTGATTCATGTCTGAACCATTTACAATGTGCTAACTCCAGTGAAATAAGATGGACAGGAATTTTAATATTTTAAGAGGTATTTTTGCAAGGAACAAATACAAGATTTGCAAAGTCCAGCTTCAGAGTACTTCAGCCTTCCCAGAGCATGCAGCTGTAGAGGCTACTTCCTAAAAACAGATGAAATCACCATTCCCAGTCTCATGATAGTGTTGATTTGTACAGAGGTGCACTAATGCTTATCCAGAAGGTCCTCAGGGGGTGCTGGGTAGACCAGAATCTCACAAGAAATGTCAAATTTCTCCAGAGACTCTCCAACTTCCCTCAAAAGGAACCAAAAGATGGGAATTTTTTCATTAAAAAAATGAGTTTGGTTGTTCTCTGCTTGAAAGTGAAGTTTGCTGTTACTGTGTCTGTAACCTTATTTGACAGATGCAATAAAAATAGGTTTTAGAGAAAAGTATGTGAAACAGAGAAGCAGGAAAACTGAAAGTTAGATCTATGGTTAAACCAGTAAGTAGAAATGGCCCGATCTTGAGAAGTGCTGAGAACTCTAGGTCCTGTTAGTTCCCATTCGCATCACTGGAAATTTGATATGCTAAAAACATTTGAATTTACATTTCATAACTATCTTACCTTGGCACCAGAATACAGGTTATCAAAACCTTCTGTTCTTCTGTCGTAATGCCCAACCTGAGAGGACATAAAAAGACTCATGTTCAGAGGACACAGGCTCAACACTCCCCCAGACACCAGCTCTCTTACTGTCAGAGCTGCTCACCCTAAACTAGGACACCTGGAAGCATTCCTTTAATTTGAAAACCCAGACTTTCAGTTCCCTAGTCTCTGCACCTAAATGTGAACCTGGAGTAGAAAACAAGTCAGTCACTGGAGAAGCTGCTCCCTGAATCAGCAGAGCTGAGGCCACCAGAAACATATTCAGAGCTGTTCTCCCCTCTCTCCTCAAAAGAAGGTGCTGGAAAATCACTTCATCAGGGCCATTACATCCCAAAGCAATGTTAGTTTCGTTTGATCTGCAAACTGGTCTATCCTCAGCAATTTGTGGCTTTTTGTGTACCCTTACATCTCCAGCCTGAATCCATCCAAAAAAATATTCCTCCCCCAAAACACACATCCTTTTGTTTATTTTTACCTACCCTTCTGCCTGTTTAGCTGTACACAGCTCTATTATGTGGTCCCTGTGTTTTCCAGGCAGATTTTCCTCATCTAAGGGATCTCTCAAATGAAGGCTATTTGAATAAATAAGGATAATGTAGCCCACCTACCCCAAGCCCCCTATCTATCTTCTGAGAGCTGGCCTTTACCGAGAGCCCAGAGCTTGTCTTTGGACTGCAACAGTCTAGAGGGATTCCTTTACTGGCATGACTAGCTGCAGAGGTTTGCAAATTAATAATTTAGATATACAGGCAAATAAAGCCCAGATATCTTAGAAAAATGCTTCTGAAGACTTCTTTTGCCTCAGAACATGAGCTTACTTCAGAACTAATTTTTATGATCTCCACAAATCTGAAATATAGTTCTGGGAATCCTCAGAGTTCCTAAGTCCAACCATACCAAATTGAAAATTTTGGTTTGTGTGTGCATACGGAGAAGGTGTCTTGGGCCTTGTGGCTGTGACTGTCCAAACAAATACTTCCCTGAGATGTCCCAGCGATCATTGCAAACTGATATTTCACAGGATAGTAGGTTTTGATTTCTCTATCAAAATCACTCATATCAGTGTTGCAAAGCTTATACTTGCAGATGAAAGATGGGGTTGTTGCTGAAAGTAACATTGACAGGAAAAGGTTTTATAAATTGAAACAGTAAACAGCTACAAGCAGGATCATGCCAAGTGATGCTTGGAGGTGGGGGCTGGGAGGTGGAGGGACTCTTTTTGTACTAAGGGCATTGCTGAATATCAAATGGCAGGTATTAGAGTGACAGCTTTTGTTTTCATAGCCTATTGAAAAGTTAACGAAGTAAAGAAGATATAATCATTCAGGTAAAGCAGGATACAAAGCAGGCCAGGGCTTGTACTAAAAATGCATAAAGTTATTTCACTAAAAGACAGAGGCACTTGCCCATGGCAGGTGCAAAACTTAGGCAGTGCTCTGATTGCCTCGAGAAAGGAAAAAACCTGCAGAAAATGTTGGGACATGTTCTAAGCCTCCTCAACAGCCGTTCTCCTTTTTTTTTTCCCTTTCTTTCTTTTTTTTTTTTTTTTTCTTAACTTGTTGAATACTTTAGGTCGTATCTTTATTGTCTGCCAGCAAAGGCTGTGGTTTTCAGGGCTCCAAGCAATCGGGGAGGGAGAGCACACACAAAAATCTTGAGTGGTTTAGAGAAGTTTCTGAATCAGGAGATTTCTTTTCATGACGAAGATGATATGGCAGAGCTTTAAAGTATGCGTCTGCTGCAAACCAGAGAAAGGACAATATTTGAGGCTGACTCACATCTGTCTGACTCTGATCATGAGTTGAAGGAAAAATGTCAACCTCACCTCGGCTGCCACTTGAGAACTCTGAGTGTTTGGTTTCCTTGGTTTCCCCTTGCTGTTGGGTGTTCAGGCCTCTCTGCTTTTGAGACACGCTTGCCCCCATTGCTGTCAGCGTGTATCCGTATTGCCATCTCACAGCACGCCTCGGTTTGCACCAGCTTTCTGGCCTCCTCACCTTCCAGGGGGTAAGTTAACCCCCTTGCTGGGGAAGCCAGGGCAGGCGGGGAGCCAGGGTTCGGCCCCTACGGGGGGTACCAGTGTGAGCTGGGAGCCACCGCCGTCCCCATGGTGTGGGTCGGGCCCCCGCAGCAGGTCCCTGCCAACGGCTCAGACCCACACAGCTCCCCGGGGGGGTCTGAAGAACCGGTCACCTCCAGCCAGACCCTCTAACCCCCTTGGCTTCCCCCAAAAAAAAGGGCCCAAAGCTGGGGCCCAAGAGTCGCCATGTGAGATGCTGCTCACCCACCCCCCCCAGCCGGCCAAGCCCAGCTCTCACACACACTCGGCAGAGACCACAGCCAACACCGGGAGGGCATTTTTTGTTCAGAGCAGTGCCTATAAAGCAAGGACGAAAGGGCACACTGGAAGCAGTGGAACCTCTTGCAAAGCAAAATCCTTAAGATTTGATGAATCATCAAGTGAAGAACCTCTCAAAGCTGCCAGAAAACACAGAAACAGACAAAGGAACTGATTTGATATCAGAGTCGTCAAGAGATGCCAATTTGTTTGGCCAAACCCATCACTGTGTGATAGCACATTGATATCTGTTTTGCTAGCTGCCTTCTTTTGAAACGATTAGAGACTCCCACTGAAAGCCAGAAGCAGTGGGGATCGAGTTTAAAGGAAATTACTAATTTGGACTGGAAATTGAAAGTACTTAAAAACAAGTTCAACTTCTCACTATCATTGGAGAAAAAAATGGAAGCAGCCAAATTTATGTTATACTTTATTGCTCAAGCTCGGCAGTACCTGGAAGACTCAGAAGCAGGCACTGACCTGCATGCATTTTTCCAGTCCCAGCCCTTGATGATATGAGTAAGAGACAGGAAAACAGAAGAAGCTTTGAAAAACACAGGCTCAAAGGACAGAATTGCCTGAGTGAGTCGGTTTCATCAGCAGCTGCCACGCACCAAGGACCATACAATCTAGCAAACTTCCTTGCAGAGCAGATGGCAGAGGCACTTCAGCCAGGAAAAAAATTCCCTCCTGGATGTAGTTTTGTTTGTTTGTTTGTTTATGTGACTGATCCCCACGCACGAAAACACACACCTGTCTCTCTCTCTTCCTCCCTTGTGCACACAGCCAGGGGATGATTTGTGTAGGAGAGCCCTTCGGTAACGCAGCTCCTCCTGTCCCAGCAGCTCCTCGCTCTCCCTGGAAGCCACCGAAGCAAATGGATCACCGAGTGCTTCCCCAGAGAGAGGAATTTTGGTGCCTACAGGTAGACGGTGTGCAGGGGAGAGGCACGGTTATTGCAGTGGTTTCCTGTTAGCCTGCTGTTCACCAGCCTTCCAGGCACGCTCCTTTCCTCACAAGGCAGGCCACAGCACACTTGATCTTTCCACATCAAACCCAAATGCTTCTTGACTTCTACCTCCCTGCCATCATTTTCCCCTCATTTCCCATCCCGAGTTCCTCTCTGCTCCAGGTGTGTGTTTTGAAATAATTCACCGATCACAGTCTCCCTCTGTGAGCCAGATAAGCCATAGGGCCAAGGGAGAAAGAGATCAAAAATACCACTTTTCTTTTGGCAAAGCTCTACAGCCTGCAAGCCTGTAGCTACCAGCCGGCTAGAAAGCAATTGTGGTGACTGCTTGGACTTGGGCCGTCTGTCATAAGCCAAGGGCTGTAGGTGAGAACAGAGCTTCAACGTAGTGCAAGGAGCAGCCGGTGGATGGAAAGAGCTTGGGCAAGTAAAATGAGAATAAAGGCATACAGCCTACAGTCATGTCTATTTGAGGTAATGCCTATTGAGTAGACCTGCATTCCTGTAGGTCTACTCCATGTAAGATTCTTGTAGATGTAATGTTTGGTCAATCTGGGGCTTCAAACTCCAACACTTTCAGATTCAAATTTAAAGACAGTCACAAATCCAGGGGAATACAACTTTATTTGGCCAACCTCATTGGGATAAGCATTTAAAACAAGAAAACACTTAAAAAAATGCGTTCGTGACTATCTTCACAGCAGCTGATCAGCAGTATGAAAAAAGGCAATAATAGACTACCAAAAAAGATACATAATAAATAACGACATGGAAGAAAACTAGTGGAAATGGCAGAAGAACTTGAAAATTTTGGAAATATACTGGCTGAGAACAGGACATCAGTGAAAGCCCTGTTGGCAGATGAGAGACAAAAGTGTCCATAACTCTAAAGGTCTCCCGTCACCTTTGTACTGAACTCTTTACAGAGTTTACACTATAAGCGTAAATAAGATGATACGTCAGTGAGGCCTGCTCCAAGTGAGGAAGATGTGAACCCTCACTGATAGCAAGGGATTTTTCCAGCACAAAGGAGCATAGCTTGGCAGAGGAAACATGAGAAAATACTGGACTCGGAATTACAGTGTGATCCAAGATCTTCTCAGAGCAGGATCTCTGTCCAGATTCCCAGCCTGCCTGTCCACGCTCAGTCACTTCGGCCAAGGATTATTTTATGTCAATAAATTCAGCTCTTTTCCAAGGAATAGGAAATTCATCCAGTGTGGATGAATTGGCTGATATAAGAAAGGAACAGCTCCAGAGAAAATAATTCTAATTACACTGTAGGAGGGGCAACACAGGCAAACAGTAGAAAGTAAAAAACTCCAGGGAAAAGGAAAAACTGATTCCAAAAGAATAAACCCAGAAGAGGAATATGTATCTGATGTGTCATCAGTGTACTTTGCACTTCTCTAAGATGAGGGATAAAGATGTGACATGTTAACATGTTGTTGCTTTCCTCTGGGATAAAGGGCATACCACATGTCAGGAATCTCCCATCCTCTAGCAAAGGACTGATACCTGCAGAGACCACACATTCCACCTGACTATAGGTAAAAACAGAGTATCTGATTTCATTTTTTAGCAGAAACTGTGATTCTAGAACTACTCTATTTTTTTAAAGCAAGGCAGCAACCACTTGTGCCTATTATATGGGGAGAAGGAAATTCCAGGAAAAAGCAAAGCAAAAAAAATTTCCTCATTTTAAGT